ATATCCGTGTCCATGCCCGTGTCCATGCCTGTCTCCATGCCATGCCCGTGCCCGTGTCCATATCCATGGCCATGCCCATGCCATACCCATGCCCATGTCCATGCCCATGTCCATGTCCATGCCATGTCCATATCTGTGTCCATGTCGTGTTCATTTTTATTTTATTATTTACCCCTGCTAGCAACTGCTATTATTTCTTGAAGAATGCAACCTGTCTGTGCTCTCTCATTCTGCGGTGGAGAGCGAGGCTAAGCTGCGTTTCCTAAAGCGAGCATGCCCGTGCCATTGCCCATATCCGTGTCCATGCCCATGTCCATGCCTGTCTCCATGCCGTGTCCATGCCCATGCCTGTGCCCATATCCATGGACATATCCATGTGCATGTCCGTGGCTGTGCCCATGCCCATGCCTGTGCCTGTGCCCATATCCGTGTCCATGCCCATGCCTGTGCCTGTGCCCATATCCGTGTCCATGCCCATGCCTGTGCCTGTGCCCATATCCGTGTCCATGCCCATGTCCATACTCATCTCCATGCCGTGTCCATGCCCATACCTGTGTCCATGCCCGTGCCCATATCTGTGTCCATGCCCGTGTCCGTGTCCACATCCATGTCCATGTCCATGCCCGTGTCCATGCCCGTGTCCATGTGCATGTCCGTGGCCGTGCCCATGCCCATGCCTATGCCCATATCCGTGTCCATGTCTGTGCCCACGTCCATGCCCGTGCTCATGCCCATGCCCATATCCGGCTTCTTTCTGCTTATCCGGGCGCTGAGCAGACGGAGCAGTTTCACTTGCGATAAAGCTGCTCTGCCACGGAGTCACCCCAGCTGCCTATCTCATCTAACTCCATATGTGGGCATTTTGATTCTGGAATAAGAATTCCTTATCCCGTGGATTAAGATAAACAGAAATCAGGCAGTCTTGTTTCAGGTATGCATTCACATGTGGAATTATCAGGAGTGACTCACAGCACAGACAACTTACCTATTGTATTTAAATATTGTTGTAAAACCAGCTTGTTTTTAAACTAGAGCTTTGGAAGTTCATTTCTCTCTTTTAAATATGAATCTTCTTTAACACAAACCATAGGAAAACACCTACATTTACAAACAACTATATAACCTGGACACAAAACTGTGCGACTTGTTGCGCAGCTGCCGGGCAGAGCACGAGAGGAGAACGTTTTATTACAGCAATACGTTTCCTTGCCTCCCGCTCAGGGCTTCTGGAAAGGGGGAGAAAGGGCAAAATAGGGGAAGCAAAGATAGAGACAGAAATTTGCAGCCACCCTTTGCCAGGATGTGGACAGATTTTCGAAAGAAGTCAGCAGCTTCCACTGTTATTCTTAGAACCAGTTTATACGCACTGTGTAAATCCCTCTTGTTGATTTTTGGTTAAAGTTTGCCAGCAGACTCTCAGATCCGAGGATGGAGCACGTTTCTTTGCCGTGCTGAGCGCACTGCCACAATCAAACAGCAGCGCAGCTTGAATCAGGAGGACTGGAGTTGCTGCATCAGAACAAAAACCCCTTCTCAGGCAGTTTGCTAGGGAATGAGTACACTATTCTAACGAGTTTATACTTCAGATTTTAAAATTCAAAAGCTATTTCTTTGCGCTTCTCTTCCTTCCTCAGCCTTCTCAAACCCCAAACAACCTACAGTCATCCTATTGGTGAACTCAGAATAAGACTCAATTAAAAACTAATTCGAGCCTAGAAATTTTACTCAATTTCATACATTTAAGTTGAATAAACATGGAAGAATTCCTGTGGATTTATCACACGAAATGCCAGGAAACACTTAAATGTAATTCAGGTTCCCAGATGGCTATGCCTTGTACTTTGGACTCTTAGAGATTATTTTATCCTCTTAGTTTCCTCAGTGGTTATTCTGCCATTACGTTAAGGTATGGTGCTAATATTAATGTCACAGACTAATAGCACGGGACTGGGAGAACAGCAGCTCTTCCCCAAAGGGTTTTGAATGCTCTCGGTTTTATCTGTTTTTGTTTGGATTACGAACTAGGTGAGTCACTAAAACCTTAGGGAATTGTGGCGTATCTCTGTTACATCCAGGCAACGTTTCGGGTATGGGGAAGCACGGTGACTATTCCTGCCTTCCCAGGGCATTTTCCCGGCGGCGATGCCGGGTCGAGCTGCTCCGCACCGCTCCGGACCCGCTCCCGCCCGGCGCCTTGTGCTGGCCCAGGCCCGTCGGAGCCCCGGGAGCAGCTCCCTGCTCCAGCCCCTCCGCTCCCCGCAGCTCGGGCCTGGGGAAAAACAGGCCAAACCAGGCCACAACGGGGCAGGCGGGAAGCGCCGGGGTCCCGGGGCTCCCGCTGCCCCGGGGAAGGAGGGAAGCGCCCGGGACTCGGTCCTCGTGCTGCAAGGAAAGGCGCTGCGCAGACACGCACCACGCTGCTGTTACCAGCACTTGTGTCCCGAAGGGCCTGAATGTCAAAATACGACATTTGGTGTTAGTTGTAGCCTCAGGATTCAATTATCACTCTAACATCTGAGAAACGGCAAAGAACTGTGATC